GGTAATAAAGTTCCGGCTTTAAATCCAATTATTATTAAGGAAATTATAATCTAATCCAATATTATTAAATCCTCTATATATCTCTAAGATATCTATTTCTAACTATATTAATCTTATATAAATAGTTATATAAAGTAATATACCTTTTTTATTATAGCTAAAATTATTAATATTCAAGATTTGGCGTTTTCTTTTCTTTATTTCTTAGGAAAGTCTTCTCTAGAATACTTTTCTATAATAATAATATTAATCTACTTCTATAAATACCTTAACTTTTCTATAGTTTTAGCCTTATTAGAGTTCTATTAAATTCATTTAATATATTTGAAATACTTTATATTTTCTAAGAAGTATTCTTTTTATTTATAAGTTTAATAAACTATACCTAAAATAGAACTAGTATTTTATTAAGGCCTTAAAAAAGCCGAAATACTATCTAAGGGTTTCTTATATAATTTTCAGAACTTATTCTTTCTTTTTTAATAGTTTTATAAATTAGAATTTACTAAATCAGAGTTCTTGGAAGTAAAATTACCCTTACTAGATTCTTCTGCCTTTACTTTCCTTAATTTGGAGTAAATAATATATTCTACTTTCTGAGTTTTCTTAAGCTACTCGGAAATAAATACTGCCTTATTTCCTAAGAGAATAAATATAAGTATCTAATAAGTCTTATAGTTAGATAAAATAGTATTAAGAGTCCGGATCCGGTTCTTTTTAGGATATAGGTCCTAGTTAACTTCGAAACTAATTATCTAAATATATAATTCGGTAATTATCTTACTATTCTTCTAATAAAGATCTCAGAGCTCCTTAAAAGCATTTTATTAGTAGATTTGAGGTATTTAAAGTATATTAGCTAAATAGGCCTTAAATTACTTCTAATAGACCTTATATAATAGTAAACTTTACTTTATTATAGCCTCCTAAGTATTATAAGGTTCGTCCCTAAAGGTACTTATAATAGAGTTAATTCTAAAAAAGTATCTATTATAAGTCTAAGATTAGGTCCTAAAAACCGCTTTCTAGAAAGATATAAATATTTTCTATTTTTTAAGAGATTTTCTATAATATAAGTCAGGTATCCGGATCTTAAAAAGCTTCTTTTAGTCTAAATATATTTTCAGGATATTATATAATAGCTCCTAATAAATAGTATCGAGACTATTCTTAAAGCTTATTATATTAGGAAAGAAAGTGAATTCTAATTCCATTTCAGGAAGTTCCCTAATAGGAATTACTAAAGAAGATAAAATAGATTTATAAATAGAATTTTTATAAGATATAATAAACTATAAGATATTCCTAAGGGTACCCTTATATTACTCTAATTATAGGATATATTAGTTAATTATATCTACTAATTCTTGCTTTTATTAGAGTACTTTAATATTAGTATATAATCTCTATTCTATAGTTTAAGTAATAGTAATTTAAATATTAATTTCGGTATCTTAATTATTACCAGAATTATTTCTATTATTATTACTGGCTTTCTGAGGCTCCTAAGGAGCCCTATTAAAAGTATTAGACAAGCCTTTACTATTACTTATATTGGGATTAATCTAGTTAATTTCCTCTATAGGAATAGCTCCGGTAAGAGATTATATATTTTACAGATTTCGAAATATAATTATTTATTAAACTACCTCCTTTAAAGATAGAGAGATTAGTTTATAAGGTATTTATTAGTAGGTAATAAGATAATAGAATAAATTAGTATATTATAAAACTATAGTATTAAATTTAGTATAGAACTAATCTCTATCTCTCTTATAAGGTCCAGGAAAGCCCCCTCTAAATAGGAGGCCCTAATAATATATATATAATTAGTAATTTATAAGCCTAATATATATAATATAAGTAGTAATTAGTTATAGTATTAAAGGGCCGCCGATCTCTCTAATTAATACCTGTAATATCCGAGGTTTATTATATGCCTTTAAGTTATATATAACTCTATATATATTACAAATATATTAATTTCTAATTTTAGGAACTTTAGAAGACTCAAGTTAATAAACTATAATTAATGTCTTTAATAGAGGTTCTAGTAATCCTATAAAGGAATTTAATATTAATTATTTTGAGAGAGTATTATTAGCTTTTATTATAGCTAATAATATTTCTTTTTAAGCTATTACTATTTCGAGTTTTAAAAAGCTATTAAATTATTTATATTAGTAAGTTTTTATTAAAATTAAGGGTTTTTATATTAAACTAATATATATATATATAGTAAAATACTATTTTTATATTTAAAGGTTCTTATAAATAAACTTACTTTAATTTATAATAATAATATTATTATAAAAAAAGAAGATTTATCTAAAAATATAACTTCTTAAGGAATGTTCTCTTTAATTCCAGATACTTAGATAACTATAAATTCAGACGCTTACCTTAGAATTATATTATAAGTTAATAAGTTATTAATTAATAATTTTTAAAACTTAGCTAATTTATTTTTAGGTATTATAACGGCAGGAATAAAGTAATAGAATAATACTTAAAGATTAATAATTTCTAATGTCCTATAGAATCTAAAGCTAAGGAGAGAAGAAGTGAGGTATAGTAGTGGATAAGTAGGTATAGCCAAGACTACTAAAACGCCGAGCTTTGGAAGCGAGCTTGGTTTGAACTATAGCTTGAAACCTTAGCTAAAACTAATCCCTTAGCTGAAACTATATCTGTATTAATTATATAATACTAGCCGTTACAGGCATTTTATAAATAAAGATTTTAAATTAAAATCTTATTTATTAGCTATAAAAGATTTATTAGATATATATTCTAGGGTATATATGAATTCGGTTTTAATAGAAGCTTTAAAATAATATAATATTAAATATAATATTACTAAATAAGTAACTTTAATTTATTTTTATAAATAATTACTAATATATTTTATTTAGTATTACTCAAGATAATAATAGCTTAAATAATAGCTTATTATAAGCTTTTATAAAGTATTATAATAAGGAAGGCATTAAATTTCAAGGAGATATTCCTTATATAGCTTATATATTAAATCTAGTAATTCAAGATATTTTAAAAGCTCTTATTAAGAATAATTATAATATCTCTTATTCTACGAATTTATATAAGTAAGAAATAGAAGAACTCGAAAATAGAGAAAAAGAAGAAGAAATAGAATAAGTAATAAGTAAGTTTCTTATATAATTTATAAGAGATTTATTAATAAATTATAGATTTATTAATTTAGAGAAAGATTAGAAAGACTATTATAGGCCTTAAATATAACCAAGAAAACCGGAGATTATTAGAAGCTTAAATTAAAGCTTTTAATATAGAAAATGCTCGATTTCCTTAACTTAGTAAGTAATTAATTAATACTAATTATTTATAGATTAAAAAACCTAATAGTCTTTAACTTATTATATATTAAAAGACTTTTTATATATATATAAAGCTATTAGGGTAGTTATTAATAGCTCGAAATCTAAAGCTTTTAAAAACAAAAGTTTAGTTTTAACTAATATTGAAATTATTTATTTAAATAATATTTTAAATATAATTTCAATATTTATTAAAGCTACTACTAAGCTATAAGCCGAAAAATATCCTACTATATATTATATTATACCTGAAGTATATAAAATATATAATAAACTTAAAAACTTTAAAAAGGAATTTAAAATAAGTTTATTTTTTAATTTTTTTTAATTATATTATTAATAAATATTATACTAATTTTTATTAGGACAAAACCTTCGAAAATGCTATTAATAAGGATATAGCTAAGCTTAGAAAATATTATCCTAAAATAGGTATTTTAGATAATAAAAGTAAAGCTTTATATTTAGCTCTTATTCTCAATTCTCGAATTAAAAGAGAAGAACTAGCCGGAATTAGCTTAGATTCCGGTATAATAGCCGATATATATAATAGGCTTAAAACAGATTATAATATATAAGTATATACTTTTATTTAATTTTTAAATAAATTACTAACTTTTAATTTTTAGTTATAAATATAATTATTTACTAGCTAATCCTTCCTCTAATAATACTAGTAGTAAGGATAGCGAAAGAGACAAAGATAAAATGGATATTTATATAAGTAATAATAAGGATAAAATAGAGAATGAATTAATTACTTATTTAGAAAAAAAGAAAATAGATAAAAAGTAAGTAAAATTTACTTTTAAATTTATTCAAGAAATACTTATTATTCCTTTATTATTTCTTTATTATTATTTTATATATAAGTACTAACTTAAGTAAAGACTAGGCCCCTTAAGTATTAGAAGTCAAATAAAGCTAGATTTCCTATTTTAGCTTTAATAGCTAGAAAATACTTAGGAATTCTAGCTTCTTTGACTTCTAGTAAGAGATTCTTTTCTCAAGGGAACCTTATTATATCTAAACTAAGGAATAGACTTAATAAGGAAACCTTTGAGAAGATTATATGCCTTAAGAACTAGGGGTTATTTAAAGACAAGGAAGAGAAAGCAGAATACAAATTTATTAAAAGGATTTTAAGCGAGGAAAATCAGTTTTATATTAAAGAGAAGGCTTAGAATTAAGAATCAAGTTAATATATATAGTACCTTAGTATAGATCTCCTTAAATATATTAATAGTTATTTATTATTTATTAAATAAAGTTAATTTTTATTCTTACACGTGATTTTCACGTGATGAGTAATTAAACTACTTAAGTAGTCTACTCTACTCTACTTAAGCTTAGTCATAGAGGGGCTACTTATACTTTACTCAATACTCAATGAGTATCTACTTAAGTAACTTAAGTAGTTTGAGTATTCCTTTGACATACTAGTAGCAACTCTGAAGATAGGAATAATAATCGTATACTTTGAAATACATATACTAAAGAATTTCTGAGGCTAGAGATAATTGAAGAATTCCTAAGGATAGATCTTGCATCTGAAACAGAGACGTTAGTTAATAGAGTACTATTATTAAACGAAGGACCTGGTGGCTTCTTGACGACAATATCGTTTGAGCTAAGTGGCAATTCGCTGCTTAGGATCACAAGCAACTTAACTACTGATTCGTATCCGGCTTTAGTGGCCAGGTGCAACGGGGTCTTGCCGTTATTATTAGCCAAATTGACTGACTCTGCAGCTCCTTTTTTTAAGAGCAACTTGACTATTAATTCGTGTCCAGCTTCAGTAGCCAGGTGCAATGGGGTCTTGCCATCATTATTAGCTGAGTTGACTTTCCCACTCTCATTATTCCCAGCTACTGCCTTATCAGGAGCCGTCCGCCTATCCTTGTCTTGCGCCTGGATATTTGCCCCGCGGTCAAGGAGCTCTCGAATAGCTTCGGGCGAGTCTGATTATACTACTACGTGTAGTAAAGTTTGTCCTTCTAGGAGATAAATATTAATCAGACATCTGTATTCCAAGGTTTTGTTGAATTCGTTCTAGTCTCCAGTCAGTATATGTTTTCTTAGATCCGATTGGAGTATATGATAATCTTCTAGCACCTCCTTTAAGAATGCCCCAAGTTCTTTACCAATCTATTACTTTGCCTTTTCTAATAGCGACTTTCCTCCAGCGTCGTGTTTCATTATACTTGTACCATTAAAGCCCAGAAGCCTTATTACCGGTTTCTACTGTCTCCAAATAGCCAAATGCAAAGGCGTATCTCCATACTCATTTGTTTTATTGACATTTTCACTAACTTCGAGTAAGCGCTCTATGCGTTCGACATCTCCCTCCTTTGCGGCAATATGTAACCTTCGCTGTTCGTCGAAACGTATGTTTGCGGGAGGCATTATTTGAAGTGGATTCGGACTCTCTGTATGATTAGGATGCAGTATTGGGTGATTGTTGGCGTATAACTTACGGCTGCTAAGCTAGGCTTGATGTATGAACGGGAATAACGCTCTAGGAAGCAGGCTGAGGTTATTTGTAACTGCTATTGACTTGGATTTTTCTCGAACCGAATTAGACTGCGTGCTTTTAGCTACTAATGTATCTCATTACATCTTTGACCAAATGAAAGAGGTAACTTAAAAAGATAACAGCAAACACGGCTAGACCTCGGAGCGGGACACATCGGAGAAACCTACCCTTGTACTGCCCACGGAGATTAAACGAGTTCGGCAACACACTCACAATACCCGCTCCATTGAGCACCGTACTCAACACGTCTAACCGAAACTACCAAGCGATACTCACGACGGAACCACTCGACACCGCCAATATCGTCGACGTCCCTACCGACTTATCCACTCCCTTCGACTACCTGACGAACAGCGACACCGACGCGGGACAACACCGACCTGTGCAGCGCCCGTCAGTGGGCATAGTACTGCAAGGATACCGCATGCCCCAAGTACTGGAGCGCCTGGTCCTGCATCTGTACGAGACGGCTGGTACACCGCGCGAATGTACGGACACACACACGGGTGGGACGTCGCGAGCTGGCGAGGGAGTGGAGAGCCAAGACGGATTAGGAGAAAAAAGAACCGAAGGAGCCCAAGCCTGCTCTGGGACAGAATGGTATTGCGTCGAGCAACGAGTAGGCTGTGGGGGTATAGAGTTTTCAGACGAGATATGCTATCGTCTTGTTCGCGAGATCGTTACGTTTGGTAACAGCGGAATCGAAGGCGGGAATGCCTTCATGCGCGCGAAAGACTACTCGTGGACAATTGGCAGGAGGTGATTCATTGCTACTTCCCTTCCATTACGCCGAGAATATGACGAAAACTAACTCTAACGATAGTAAGCCTCAAGAGACCCATTCGAACTGAAGAACAGAGCAAAGATTTTCAATTCCCCTTGCAGCAATCTATTCTCCGCAACCTGCGCTTCGATCATTCACTTCTGGCTCTGGCTCTGGCTCTGGCTCTGGCTCTAACTCTGGCTCGTCTGCCTCCAGCGCAGAACTCTTACGCTTCAGACCACGTTTCCCCTTGCCCTTGATGACCTCCTTCGCAGCACGCGCTGCTCGTGCCACCTCGATGTCCTCAAAGCTCATTACCTTCGCCTTCCCTAGTACGACTGACCTGGTTGATCGGCGAACTTTGGCTTCGTTATTCATTCTGGTCAACATCTGGAAACTTATTTTTAGATTCGGAGTACTACAACTACGAGTAGATCGGGTTGAAAGACTGCACCTCAGAGTGATTTCGTCTGAAGTATTGTACCTTGATATACTGTAAGATGACGTACGCGGTTTATTTATACTTCAAGCCCGAGTACTCTCAGCTGTAGTACTATAACTGAGAGTACGTCAGCTAGCAAGACTGCACCTGAGAGTACTATAGGATAACGTATACCGTTTATTTATACTTTAAGCCCGAGTACTCTCAGCTGTAGTACTATAACTGAGAGTACGTCAGCTAGCAAGACTGCACCTGAGAGTACTATAGGATAACGTATACCGTTTATTTATACTTTAAGCCCGAGTACTCTCAGCTGTAGTACTATAACTGAGAGTACGTCAGCTTGCAAGACTGCACCTCCGGTTTTCTCTATGAACCTTGCTTTTCAGTTACATAGGTAATTAAGATATACTCGGAACAATTATCTTTATACGTAGTGTGATATTCTTGTTAATCTATACTAATAATTCCGGCGATAGTCTTCTACGGTAGTAGTATAGGCGTCTCTGTCACGCCATGTAACGTCAATAATGGTGGAGTAAGCTCCCTTAAAGAAGCTGTTCGGCTGGGCGACTTTTCCTTGTTTCTTCTTATGGTTTTCCGTATAGTGGTTCGTTCTCTATGGAACTGCCAGTATATTTTCTCTACAGTTCTCCAAGGAAGCTATAGTTTTACTCACAGGGTGGTTCGTGGAATCGTTGCACCGCATTTTGTGTGATTTCCAGGTTTGCCCGTCTGGGAGGTCGTGCTTGAGGGGCCGAATTGGGTCCCAAGGCGCTGGCGCTTGAACCCTGGCATTGGGAATAGAGCAAGATTTGGCTCCCTGACGCCGGAAGGGAGCAAAAATGGCTCCCTAACGCTGGCGCATCTATTGCGATGGCGCTTAAGGAACGCCGGCGTTGAAAAGGGAGCAGAAATTGGCTCCCTGACGTTGGCGCATCCGTTTCGCTAGCGCTTGACGAACGCCGGCGTTGGAAATAGAGCAAAATTCGGCTCCCTAACGCCGGCGCATCCTGCTCTGGACGCTGGGAAGCGCTAGCGAAACGGATGCGCCAGCCTCAGGCCGAAATATTTTTGACATTCAATAATCTGACCAAGAGGGCCAGAACATCAGCCACAGGGAGCCGAATTTTGCTCCATTCCCAACGACGGAATCACGTGCATCCTGGTAGGCTCCTAACGTCTATCCCTGCGTGCCGAGACGCACCCTGTAACGAGACAAATCGTAATAGCCGGTTCCCCTCCCACTGCGCTTCGCTTGTGGTCGGAATAAGCAAGTGTCTCGTTCAAGCAAGTGTCCCAGCGAGATTTTGTATGCGAAAACCCCACCAAATAATTTGTTCGCGAATTTGGGCGTTTTCGCCTACACTTTTGCGCATAAAAACCCCGCAAAACCATCGCAATTTAGTTATAAATCAACGAATAAACCCATATAAAGACTTAAATTTTTATTTTAACTTTCTAGAATTACTTCTTTATATATGTAAATATATTTTAAAAATTATTAGACCGGGTATTAAGGAGGGGGCTGAGTTATTCTTATTTTAAAACGATTTTTTAAGGCGAAAATCTGTGGTTTTCCCTACCAAAATCTCGCTGGGACACTTGCTTGAACGAGACACTTGCTTATCCCGACCACAAGCAAAGCGCAGTGGGAGGGGAACCGGCTATTATATCAAAATTTTAATATATTTTTATTTTAGTTACGTTGTATGCCTCTCCGGAACACTCCTAACTTATTTAATTCCGAAAATTTTAATCGCGTCATCGCTGCCCATCTAAATTATAAAGAGCCTCTTATTATAGTGTAATAGGACCCCTCGACCCACGACACTACCATTAAGCTCTTTTCGCCTTTTAAACTTATAGAACGATTAGATATAGATCTCCGAGATTTATTACAGTGCTCAAAAGTTATTCTCAGTGTTGTGGCGGCCAGAGTGCGCCATGTCATACGCCATTGCCACATAGACTGATACCTCCTCCAATCAAGCGATCAAGGATCGTAGTCAGTGGCGGTGTGGTTATAGTAACCTCGGTAAAATTCTAATAAAATTTGTGGCTGCTAAACGTGTGGCCGCGACGTTTGTGGCTGTGCGTACCTTGGCAGAAAATTCCTGTCGGGACAAAAAGTGGCCCTGTGCGCAGCCAACAAAATCGGCATTTCCCCTTCTTGGGGAAATGCTTCTGCACGACAAGCTTCCCCCTCACCTTTTCATTCCGGCTTTCACTTCTTCTCTTGCGCTCTACGACGAAATTGGTGTCCTGTCCAATTAACGTCCATCCCTACGTAACGAGAAACCCACCGTGCCGAGAAAAAATCAGGGTACTTCATCTTTAAATTTCATAAAATCTATATATACATAGGCAGCCCCTATATTTTTTGTATTAGTTTTGCTCTACAGCCAATTCTAAACACATTGAGATCTTCCTACGAAGAATTTCTATTGTAATAATCTTTCCCGAGCTTGATTTGCAGGATGCCTTCGTTTATAGTATAACAGAGTTCCTTCGCTATATCTCTACCACAGTACATTTTTCACTTCTAATATTTACAAAAGGGTGTCACCCTAGTTACATACATCCAATACCATACCAGAAATCATTTTCAAGCTTTGTGGCTGTTATGGCATACAGATTCATCTAAACTCGCCACATGGATTAGTACTTCTAATAAAGTTACTAACCGACTTTAGATTGGTATACTGAAAGCTATACCCTACTATACGAGAGTACCAGCCTACGGCTCGCACGAAGCCTTCGTACTATAGTCGCTAATGAAATCGGCTTCCCTTCAAGCTTACTATAAAAGTTTTAGCTCCTGTCTACTAAATAGGAATACCTAGAAGTACTATACTAAAAGAGGCTATATACTATAGAAGAGATTATTAGCAAGCGAAAGCTCGTTTTTATAATACAGTTACTACTATACTAGAAAACTTGTTTATTATAAATATGTAATTAGATTGGCTAATCTAACTATCTGGATAAGTAATACCAATATTATATAAGAGTGTGAGGCTCCTAATATAGCAGGGTGCTACGCAAGTAGTCAAGGTAAAGGGGTAGAATATAGGGTAAAGTATGGAGTGAAGCGTGGAAGTATAATTAATTCCAAGAACTGGTTCTCAGTAATAAACTAATCGATGCCCATTTCCAAAGCTCGCATGCCTCCATATATAGAATCTAGTGTTCCGCTGGATGTACGGAAGTACTAGTCCCAATTAGGGAGTGCGATCCCATATAAGTACTAGCCTAATTAGGCTACCAAATCCAGCTGAATGCTCGCTGTCAATGTGCGCATCACAAAGAGTAAAGAAATACTTCTACTAGGAGCCAAAAAACTACTCGATACTAGAGATACTAATAGCTCCAATTCCAATCCGCTTAATTCCCCAAGATCTAGTAGATTTCTATACTAATAAAGTTTTCTTATTTATTATAATACGAGAAAGTAATATAAATTAATAGGTTAAACTAATTACTTATTCTTATAAAATACCTTCCAGGAATTCTCAAATATCTAATCTATAATAATAATATAATAGTAATCTATAGATACTTCGAAATTAAAGTTTACTATATAAGAAAGTTCTATATTAGTATCTTTAAGCCGTCTCTATAAAATATTAGCCTTAAATAGTCTAGTAACAGATACTAAAACATTGTTTTTATCCAATTTCTGAGCCTCACTTTATAGAGTCTGAGAAAGATAATTATAATAAGTATACGTAATAGTATATAGACAGGTATTAGATATTATAGATCTAGTTTCCTATTTTGGGTATAGCTTGCAATCGGAATTATATGAATTATATAGGATTTCCTAATTAAGTAAAAGGCTTCGTATACCTGGCTAAGTACTAGGGAATATATAAAGAGACGCTCCTAGCTTTGGAAAAGAGTATTAATTAGTCTCTTATTAGAATTAATTCTTGGAATTAGTTATACTTATAAGTATTACTCCGTAGCTTACTTACCTTGACTACTTATATATTACCCTACTATTATATATCTTATATTCTAATTAATCTAATTTTCGGGAAGTAGTTCGTTATAAGATAGTTAAGCTATTAATAGACAAACTATTAATGGCTAGAGTATTAATTAGGAGAAGCGCCTCTACTATTACCGGGGTAACCCAGTCAGGTACCCAGGGGAGTACCCAGTTAGCTATTCTAGCTACTGCCTAATTAGAAGAAGGAAATAGAACTCAGATACTCCCAGAACTAGCTAGCAGGATAAAGATAATAGAGAAGCTAGCGGCGGCTTATTATTATATTACTAAATTAGAAGTAGAAATATAATAGAGAAAGGATCTAGAGAAGCTAGAAGCTTAGATTTACTATCTTAAGGATATTTAGATATCTATTATAGAACCTATTATACTACTAGTAGTATATTTAGTTTATAGGGCTTTAAAAACCCGAGAATTACTAACTTATAAAGAGAAAAGTATTAAGAAAGTCCAGGACTTCTTTTATTAGATAGAACTAAAATAGTATAAAGATAATAGAATTACCTAGGCTATAAATATAGTAAAGGTTATATATTATAT